TTACAACTTACACCTCGCACTGTTTGAGTTGTTAAAAAGGCACAAAGATTTTTTTCTTCTTGTTCCCTGCTCTGAAAGGTAGCGCAGCAATCATAATCTCGCCAACGTGCCCGAACACAAAAGCACATTCCAGCCTGCAGCAGAGGTTAGTGTTGCAACTCTCTCCAGCCTGATCCTCCGTCGCCACCAGCAAAAACACAAAATATAAGAGCAGAGCAGGAAAATGAGCCCGCGGCTGCTGCACTGAACTTTAACCCCGACACACAAACTCACTCCGACACAGAGGATACTCTAAGCACTAAGACAGAAAAATAAAAAACTTCTTCTGCCAGCTCTGGCAGAAAAGCACAGATGGCATTCGTAATTATCATTTTTGTCAAGTGTCAATATTTGAGTTGGAGTTCGGCTAAGAGATGTTAATATTTGAGTTGTGGCGAAGGCTTCTAAATTCCGACGCCACCGGCAGAGCGCAGGGCCCAGGTGGGCTGAGCCTCGATCTGCAGCCGACACAGTCATCTACTTTGCATGGAGAGTCGCTCAGAGGAGTCACTCCACACTGAAAGGTCAGCAGGTGACAGTCAGTCATATAACTAATAGAAGACAGTGAGAGCAGGCTGGGTGTGAGGCAGAATAAAACCGTGGGGGGAAAAGAAAAAAAGGAAAATTTACAGTTTTGTCCTCAGCCTGGTCAAAACTACAATCTGCAGTCTTTTTCTCTGTTAGGAGGATTTATTGAGAGGATAAAAACAAAGGGAACTGAAACAAGTCAAAGTCAAACAAATAAAATACAGAAGGTTATTTGAAAACCTTCATACAGTCTCCACAGTGTTGGTCTCTATAGTGAATGAAGTCTTGTCTGAATGAAGAATTCTCAGAGTGAGCGTCTGACGGTGAGTAAGTGATGCTGAATGTGAGATTCGAAGGTTCGAGGTTCGAAAATGTTTGTCTATGTAAAATTTAAGCAGATATTTTTTAATTTCAGGCCACACAGAGAGTGTTTACTTTCTGTCTGCAGCTCTGACAAACTGAGTCCAACTAACGCCACATATCCACATGGAATATAAATCATAAAATTGGATGCGAGTATGGCCAGATTAACCTCAGAAAAATTCAGCTGCTAGACCCCAATTAACCCCCAACACCACACACACACACACACAAGCACACACACACACTTTCTGTGCATTGTGTACAGCACTTTTATAGTAAAGCACACATTTTGTTTTAACGTAATTATTACCCAATTATGGCATAATCAACGTCTAAAAACTAGATTTTGACACAGAGGTTTTTTCGGACAGAGCATCAGCATCAGGTAATAAAGCAGAACCTTGAAGCTGCACTAATCAATATTTTTCTATCATCAACAGATCAAATTATTTTGTCTGATGTGGAAGGTGAAGGTTGTTGTGATGAACCCTGGGAAAATTATCACCTTACTCTGCAGATTCCCCCTAGAAAAATATGGTGCATTTAAGCGTCTTTCAGCTCGTTGTTTTTGGTATTCCAGCCAGAAGAAATTTAAATTAAAAAATAAATAAATACTGTACGCTGCTAGCAAAACACCAAACGTGCTACACCAATACCAAGTGCAATTTTAAACTGTGCAATCACAAGATATATTGTTGCACTTATATTTTTATTGTATATTTCAACTATCACCTTTCAGTAGTGGCACATATCCTCACATATTTCTTTACATATTTCTATTTGTTTTTTTCTTTGCTGTTACATTTCCAGTCTTGAGGGAGCAACTGTAACGTAACCTAATTTCCCACTTGGGGAAAGCTAAAGCTAAAGCTAAAGAGCTAAAGAGCCAGAGATTGTTCTCTAATTTGGTAGAAACCAAAATCAGAGCTGTAAGGAGAGTGAATACTGCTCTTACGTTCATCATGTCACCACAAACATGGCTCCAAATAAAAGCGAACTTGCTCCATGCACTGCTAGAAGTGTAAACAGTTAGCTATCACATTAGCCACGTCAACGTTTACATGTCAAACGTGATTTTCAGCTTGTTTTATGGAGTCCTTCCTCAAAGAGACCAAAAAAAATCAAATTACTGCAGCTTTAAAGACCTTATCATGTCACTTGGCATTACGCTTAAGGCGTGCATTTACTTAAACTAAATTTTAATAATCAAATTAGCACACGCTAGTTGACACACATTGAACCCGGGGCTTTTGGAGATGTTATTTTTTTGCCCAGAAATGTAAGGCTGTAGAACCGAGATGAGATCTGACTTCTGGAAACATTTGAAACAGATCAGAATTGATGAAAGTTTTTCTTTTTTTTTTACCCACTAGCCTTTGTTTATCCATTCTCTTTGAGGCCGTGTTTAATGATGCAGCACGTATGAGATGTTAAGAGCAGCTCACTGGACAGGATGTGTACGACCATGAGTACTGTGGCGTGTTTCAGACTCTTTGACTGTCCTCTGCATTGCCCTTCCTGAAAGATTCACTTATCTGGGCTCAAGCGTTTTAACTCCTTGCGGCAGCGTGTCGGGAAGGGGAGGGGGGGTAAAAATGATGTCTGGAGGACGCCAGCCGGCATTAATAATTAATCATCTTGTGCCGTCTCTCCTCCACCTTCCGCCTCCTCTGAGTGTCCTGAACCTGGCTGCCGCTCCTCCGATAAGATCAGTCCAGAGAAGCTGAGAGTCCAGGCAGGAGAGCCTCCAAATAAATAAAGAAAAGATCGCTCTCGCATGGCCATCCATTTTCCCTCAGCAAATATAAATCCAATTATTAGATAAATCTGAATTCCACTGAAAGTCATTCATATGCTGATGACGCTCCAGATGTGATTAACACCTTTGGAGTTGGCTGATTGTATTCTGTGACCCTCAACATGCTCTGAGATCAGTATTTCCCTCCAAGCGAGGAAGATAAAATCATCTCACCCCTATTAAACTGAACAAAGTGAGTACAGAGGGTGGATTTAAAACATTCTTATTTTTTGAAAGCCGCCCTTTCACTGATTTTCCAATTAACCTTCTGCGGGATAAGTTCCTTATGAGATTCCATACATGTCACCAGCAACACATTGCAATGCTCCGAGCTACACAAAACACACGCCGCCTCCAATCCCCCCTTTCAGATTAGCTTATATACTGTAGCGCTCGCTGCTGTCATGAGTGCAGCTCACTAATAGACACAGCTGTCTCTGAACAGGATCCAACAATCACTTCCCGTGCGCTCTGTAATCTGAGGTTAACCGAGAAGACGTTTACGTGCTGCTAAACACCGACCGCAAAGCCAGACACACACCGGATAGATTTCCTCTGGGCCTTCGACTCAACAACACTAATAGCTTGTTAAGATTGCTGCACATACTCAAGACCTATTAGCCTTTTCCTGCCTGTTTTTTTTTTTTAATGTACATGGACAGCTTTTAATGCAAGAGACACTGTTTTCTCTTTATTTATTTTATTTTATTCCATTTCAGCGTCTTGCTTCGAAGAGGTCAGGAGTCTTTGCTGGCTCTTCTAATGATATGTCACCTGCTATAAATCATTGCAACAGAAAACCTGTTCCAGTTAAACAGCAGCAATGCAGAGCTGGTGAACAAACAGTGTTATTAATCTTTTAGGAGATACCATCTATTTTCTCTGTGCAGCGCAGTCGTGCACTCAAGGCTGCATTCATAAATGTTAAAATGATGCACATCCTGTACACAAGCACTGACCTTTACTCCTCTTGTTTTTTTTTTGTTTGTTTGTTTGTTTTTTATACATCGAGTGGCGGAGATAAGACGGTTTGTACTTCATTTAGCAAAAACACAGACAGAACGAGCATCGGAAACCTTGGGGTGAAGGCCGCCAAGATTCACCGCTTTAACTTTTCATGGTTCTGGGTTAATCTGGGCCAAATTTAAAAACCCCCCATTCAGCCGTCCGGACCTGCATCAGCTTTATTTTCTCTTCGCTTTCCAGCGGCTTCTCACCTGACCGACATCAGCGGTGAGTCTCAAAGAGCTGCTACTGTCTCTGCACCTGACAGCTTATTCATTTATAAGCTCCCAGCTCCCTCCTCTGTGTGTATGGCATAACAGGAGAAAATCCTTCTCGTTCTTACAAGCCACGGTCTGTAACTTCAGATCGCTTTAATCCCCGGGATGAAAAAAAAAAAGAAAGAAAGAAAAAAAAAAAGAGAGTTTTTCATTTAACAAATCACCCCCCTCAGAACTCCGGATCCCTGTGTAATTATTCCTCCAATGTGACTGTAAGCCAGCCGTGAGAAGAGCACTTGACGAGAAGCCGCTCGCGCATTAAGTCTTCCTAAGCCTCCTCCAGTCTCCTCCATAAGAACTAATGGAAGGAGCCTTCCTTCAATTTCTCTAAATATCCTACACAGAATATCAAGTGGCTCTCGACGCTGGCAACTCCGATCTTATTTGGATTCCAGCGGACAGTCAGCTGGTCACACAGCCACAATCACGGCCACAAAGCTGTGGCTTCTCTGCCAGTGTGCCACCTGGGATTTAGTCCAACAACCCAGGATGTGAGCATGAGGTGTAAGGGTGGGTTCACCTGGTGAGCAGGGTTCATTCAACACTTTTAGGATCCTGCAGCGTGCAACTTTGCACTCTCTCTTTTCCCTTTTCTATTTTCTGCTGTAACAGGAACCAGCTCTCCTACCTATCTGTTTTAGTTCCCAGAACAAGTAACAGGCAGGCTGGAGCACACTGAAGAGAGAGTGGGGGGGGGGTGTACTCTGCATTTGACTGTGATAAAGCACATGCAGTGAACACACACACACACACACACACGAAAAGAGAACTCCTAGGTGTGTAACTTCATGCTCTTTTCCTTTAATGGAAACCAGTGCTCATGCTTTTAGTATCCAGAACAAGTAAGAACCCACACATTTACACTTAGATGAAGGAATCTGCGCACGCACACACGCACGCACACACGCACACACACGCACACACACACACACGAGTATGAGATTATGCATGTAAACACTATGCAAACACGCACAGAAATACTAACTCACCAAAGAACATGCTGCTCTCCATAGCTCCTCAGGCTCAGGGGTCTGCTGTATTTCCTCTCTGGTGCCCTGCCAGTGTGTGTGTGTCCATGAACAGCAGCCTGGGCATGTCTCATACACTCCTCAAGGGGTGTGTGTGTCCGTGCATGTGTGTTCAATCCAACAGGAGCGTCAATGGCCAGTCTGCATGCTGCATGCACTCTGCACGCCGCCGCTGTCTGTGGACCCTCCGTATCTGCCTCTCTCTCTCTCTCTCTCTCTCTCTCTCTCTCTCTCCTCGCACTGGTCCTCCCTTGCCTCTCTCGTCCCCTCCCCTCCTTAGTTCTTCCCCTCCCTCCTCCTCCTCCTCTTCTGTCTTCCTCCTCCTCCTCTCTGGCCCCTCCACACACTGGATCCCTTCGCTTCTTTCTTTTCTCTCTCTGAGGTATCTATCTACATTTTCCAGCAACAGCCTGTTCTCCCCAAATGCCCCTCTCTCTCCCCCCTCTCTCTCTCTCTCTCTCTAGGTGTCTCATCTTTGTTTTATGTGTCAACCAAACCTCTCTCTCACCCACATTTCTTGCTTCCCCCCCACTGTCTCTCCTCCTTTATTTGATCATATTCCCCTTTCCCTGCTTCCATCTCCAGCTCACTCCCTTTTATTTTTTCTTGATTTCGATTGTTCCCTCGCTCTCCCTCTGTTCTGTCTCTTCCATATCTCTCTCTCTCTCTGCTTCTACCTCTGTAAATATCTTTGCACTGTGTTTTTTTTTTTCTCCACTTGCCCCTTTTGTCTCTTATCGTTTTCTTCCTTTCACTCAGCATGTTCCTCTGCATACACAAAAAAGAAGAAAAAAAAAACAGATTACTGGAGGGAAACTAGGTTGTGTTGGAAAATGGGAAACACGTTTGGAAGGTGGAGGAGACAAAAAACGGAGCTAAAAACAAAGTGAATATAAAACCTACATTCACTACATGAGCAGAAACACGACGAATGTCGCTCTGTGCAAATAGGCAGCCGTTTGCGAGGCAGCGTCACTTTAGAAATGACCTTTCCAGCTTCTCATGCTGCCCTCAAGTGGCCAAAAAAAAAATGCACACAGGATTAAGGTGGAAAACACATACACACATAAAAGTTGGTGTAAAGGAATAAAAAACATTATTCATTTTGAGAGGCGTCTGACAGCGAAGCGCTCGGTGCTGCCACCGGTGGCTGAAATACACAATAAAAATACAATACATAGAAGAGATTATTGTTTTTAAATGCTAGTTTTACAATAATATACAGTAGCTTTGTAAAAGCAGTACAGTTGGAAACTGAGAAAGAAATCTGCCGCCATATTTGATTTTCCACGCTCTGTGTTTACGTTAATATAACCTTTTTTTTATTCTGGAATAAATCATGTTTTTTTGTTACTTTGATATTTTCACGCTGCTTTAGGAAGATTTCCACCCAGACACTGATATTATGTTTTTGTGGTTTATATTTTCAGCTTTGTCCCTGGAACACATTTTATGAACGCCTGAACATTTTTAGTGAGATGGCAGCGCAGCTACAGAGCAACCGGCTGTAATAACCATGTTATAACAAATAACATGCTGCAGGTCTGTAATCTCATATCTCCCCTTTCTCCAACCTTGTGCTGGAACCATGGCTAATTTATTTTAAGAGTTTTAGTGGTACAAGATGTTGCTTTGTGATGCTTAATTTGTGTGTGTGTGTGTGTGTGTGTGTGTGTGTGTGTGTGTGTGTGTGTGTGTGTGCGTGTGCGCAGTGAGATCACAGGCTCTGTAGTGAGAGAGCCTTACAATATAAATCTTACAAACAGTCAACTGTTAAAGTGACTTATTTCTAATTACAGAGGATACTTTGCGCTTTAGTTTTAATTGTAACCGGGCTTTGATTTAAATTAATTTGAAACGATGTAATGATCTGTCTCTCTGCTGTCACAGAGACACCTTCTCCGTCTGAAGTCTGTTCTCTGGGAGAAATACAGCAGAGTAATCAGGTTCCTGTAATCGCCAGCCCCAATTATGGAAACCAGGTTTCTTGTTTATGTGATGTTAAAGAAATCAGATTACTGCAGAGAGCCGACAGTAACACAGTTACTTAAGTGCATGTAAGTGCACTGATTGATTCTGTCTTTTTATGTCTTCCCCTCCATTCTCTTTTACACTTCCTTTTCATCCTTTGTTGATGACACTCGCTCTTTTGTTTTCTCTGTGATGCTCACACACTCATTCCCAGACTGTGTTGCTGCTGCATCTCACTCCCTTCTGTCTGCCTCTTGTTCACTTCGTCTCTCTCTCTCTCTTTTTTTTTTTTCAATCTCTGGATGGTTGTAATCAGACTCAACAGGAGCTGATATCAGGCTGCTGCTGCTGCTCTATCTGTGGGCTACACACACACACACACACACACACACACACACACACACACACACACACACACACACACAAACAGCATCTTTAGAAACATAACAAGCACAAAAGATGCACAAACTGTAGGTCTACTACACTCTCACAAATACAGATGCACACATAAAGACAAGGGCGCACACACACACACACACACACACACACACACACACACAAGCACTCCCTTAAATACTAAAATATGCACGAAACACACAAAAAGAAACAGCCAGCAGATGCTCAAAACATTTGAAGACACGCACACAGACCCACAAACAGACAATAAGCAAGCAAGCTCATGTACCCACATAAGCCCCTGACACACACACACACACACACACACACACACACACACACACACACACACACACACACACACACACACATTTATGCATATATACACCCACTCTTACAAAAACATAAACAACCACATGCAAAGACTCTGCCAAACATTAACAGCTGCACAGCTCGCACACAGAATATCACACATCCGCATTCGCACATGCCTCCTCATCTTGTGTAACAAGGAGAATATGAATTATATGGACATAGTATAATTTCTTTTTATAAAAAGGACTGATATGAAAGAAAACTGTTAGTTTTGGCAGCGATTGATTGATGGTTAAGAAAAATACATCTACAAATACATTTCCCACTGCATCAAAACAAAACGATTGACTTCACTGTGACATTTTTTCCTACGGAGGAATCTTGTAGGTGACGAGAAACGCTTCCTGAACGGCGGTGTCAAACGACCTGCTGGCTCTTTCAAATTTAGCCATGTATTTATATTGCGGCTGTTATTGTGATTCAAATGTAATCATGAATGCAAAAACAATGATTACATAACAGTCACAAAACGAGAGCGGGGGCAAATTGTGGCATGTCATCGCTGCCTCCCACCAGATTTATGCTCCTGCCATGAATGGATTTGTCCGCTCTGTCCACACAAACTGTGAGAGCCGTTTGTCAGCAGCCCCTTTCTGATTCTCTCCTCTGTTCGTGGTCTTTGTGGTGGAGTCGAGGCTTTTAACATTTCCCTGTTCACGCATTCAGACGACAGACTGTGATCTGATATATTATCTACAGTAGATAGGGACATCTCATCCACAGGCCTTTGTATTCACACCTGGAATCAAAAAGTGTCGACTTTATCTCCGCTCTGACTAACGAGATCTGATCTTAATATGAGCAGACGCAGAGGCTGTAAATAAAGACAGACGTGGCCTGGGTGACGTCAGCCACCTCAGGTCTACGGGGATTGAACAAGTAGCAACCTTAGAGCCAGAAAAATGAAGCCAACACGGAAGTACCAAAAACTGCAGTTCCTCCATAATTGAGGGCGAAGTCTCGGCTCCAAACGGCGCCCCACATCTTTACCCATTTTTGGTTTAGCTGGGAGTTAGGCGGAGTCAGGTGCTGGCAAGGTGGGGACGGCAGAGCAGCTCACTCTGAGCTTCAAAACCGTTCTAAAGAAACCAGTGGGTGACGTCACGGAGGCTACATCCGTCTTTATTTACAGTCCAAAGACTGAGGTTGACTCACCTGTGGAGGCAGCCTCAAGTGGTCATTTGAGGAAGTGCAGTTTTTGGTATTTCTGTGTTGGCTTCAGTTTTCAGCCCCGGAGGTTTGCCGCTTGCTCAGACAGGGCCGACAGACTTGTCAAGAAACATCATGTGAGGCAATGCCATGGACAGCTGCCATTCACTTTGAAATCGCTTTGAAGTGGTGAGTCTTGCCACCTACTGCTGCTACTTGTAGCTCGTAGCTAAGGAAGGTCAGAGTCAGGTTACGTTTCAACTTGCAGGGTAGATGTTTTTCTCATTAATGCGTAAGTGCGGCCGTTCTGTATGGATTGTATTTACACCTGTTTCAAAATGAGGTTGCTTCCTGCTCTGATAATTCTGACACGTTTGACTAATCAAAAATAAACTTGCCCTCACGAGCATGCAAGACTTCTGTACAACTCAGCAAATTATGAGACACAATCATTTCAGATCGCCATGCTCGCAAAACTGCTTTTGATCATGGTCTGATCAAACCTGCTCACAATGTGATGCATTTACACTTTGCATTAACCTGTTTATCTTATCCAGATAAGACGTTCAGACACGGACCTCAAGTTAAATCCAGGTGTAAATGGGGTCAAAGAGGCAGAATCTCTCATTTCTCCCTCCTCATAAACACTGAAGCCTGCCGGCGTGTGTAGAATTGAGCCAGCGATCTAAATACTCAGCTCTCATTGTGCTCTTAATTTGTGCCGTAACACTCCACAGGCACACAACGACGTAATTAATTTCTCGAGCGATGTGTTTCCATGCATCATTTTTCTTACTCAAGCCCCGGTAGCTTGTTAAAGTGATGTTATAGTGAATCAGGAGGCAGATGTTGACTGCGAGCATCAGCTTCATGTCTACTTTGCTTGAAGTAGGTGTGTTTACATTGATGATTCTGAGTAAAAAAAAGAAACAAAAAAAAAACATGATTGATCGTCCCCTGCTTGTCAGTCCTGCGCTGAGAGAGGGAATTTGCATAAAGTTGAATCTTTCTCCACTTCCACGGCTCGCGCCGCTGAGCAAGTTTTAAGACATGAGTTTGCAGTGGATGGTGCCAGGTTGTTATTTCGAGGTTCAGTTCACATGAATGGCATCTTGTCAGGCCTTCCACTATGGTGAGTCTATTGGTATGAGTGTGCTAAGAAATAAGGAGGAGGAGCAGAAGCAGATCCTGCAGCCTCGTTATTTATATCAAAAAAATCGGCCTCTACCATCCACTTAAATGTTTTCTGAGATGTGTTTCTAATAGAAAATCATACTGATAAAAGCAAACAATGACTTGGT